AGATATCGATGGGGAACGCCTCTTTGCCACCGGAGAACTTCTTTGTTTTGGTGGGGGAGAATGCGAGACTCTGCGCTTGGGTTGTGGAGAAGGTGATGCCCTTCGTTTTGGAGGAGGAGGGGGAGTTGCTGTTCTTCGCTTAGGAGGTGGGGAAGGAGAGTATCGTCTCTGTATTGGAGGAGAATATCGTCTGGGAGTAGGTGAGCGCCTGCGTGGAGGTGGTGATGGAGACCTACAAAACCAACAGAAAGAATTTGAGAAGTCATGTATACAGGACAAAGTTCTCACACTAGTTAGCTGCCAATGGCTAAAGATATGCACTTTGGCAAAGAGGAAAGATTTTACACTGATGTGTTCCACTTTTAAAATTCTTACAGCAATCTCAAGGAACTACAGCAAAGTATTACCGTATACCCTGCCCAATAGCCATTTCAATATCAGATAAGAGAAATGATTGCTTGCTACACTCAGCACTTACAATGGTTCAACAATTGAACACATCCCCCACCGAAAACGTTTCAGAAAACAAAATTATGATTTTAATTAAAAAAAAAAGATTTATTGGCAAAGGGCATCAGTTCCATTAATCATGACATTTGCTTTTTATTGGACAGTGTTACAACTCTTGATTTGCAGAACTGCCCTTAGGGATTAATAAAAAGCAATAGAATAAAACAGTTACCTTCGGCGAGGCAATGAAGGCGATCTGCGCCGCCTTGGAGGAGGGGCAGGAGAAGGAGAGCGCCGTCTTCTGGCAGGTGGTGGTGATGGACTCCTCCTCCTCCTACTAGAGGAAACAGAAGAGTTGCTTTATTAAAAAAACACCTCATGCCAAATGCTTAAATTTTTTTCTGCCATGTCATCTCCACTACATAAAGCTAAGCTGGTTCAGATTCTTCGTCTTCCAAATGAGATTCCATTAGATGCAAACACTATCAGACAGTGATTACGTCCAAGAGACAAAAAAAGATATAGCAAAGTTTGTTTTCTCTGAGGCCTGGTCTACACTAACCCCTCAAGTCGAAGTAAGGTACGCAACTTCAGCTACGTGAATAACGTAGCTGAAGTCGACATACCTTAGTTCGAACTTACCACGGTACTCCCCGTCGACTCCGCGGTACTCCTCTCGCCGAGCTGGAGTACCGCAGTCGACGGCGAGCACTTCCTGGTTCGACTTATCGCGTCCAGACCAGACGCGATAAGTCGAACCCAGAACTTCGATCCCCAGCCGCCGAACTAGCGGCTGGGTGTAGACCAGCCCTGAGAGTATGGGATATAGAAGCTATAAGGAGTCTTCAACCTTACCACAGTTCAGTTTTCCAAGGAAAAGAAATTCTTAAAGCTCACTAGACCAAGGAAATATTTATCATCCTAGTGGGGATATATCTTAATGGCTGCCGACTTCAGGTAGACAAACAGAAATTGATTCTAAGCAGACTTACTCTTTACCACTGGTAGATTTTAACACTTCAGCGAGAGCACAGGCTAAGAAAACCAGAGTTGGTGCTAAGATACTGCTATACTGCATTTAAAATATTCAGAGCACAGGGGGTCCAGACACTACTCCCACTGAAGACAAAAATTTGCAGTTAACTTATATGAGGAAATCTGGACCCAATGTGTTTACCCATAACTTCTGAAAAGCTCAACGGGTTTAAATTCTGAGAGGAAAAAAATGTAGCTTTTTAGTGACAATATACAAAACTTAGTGACAAAAGATTAAATATCTTTTTTGCTTTTTAAAGGCTGCCCTGCACTTTTAGTCAATAGAAACAGTCAGCTAATTAATATTTAATTCCAAATAGCCTTGCTATATTTTTCCATAGCAAGAAACTAGATATTTACAGCTAAAGATTGTTCCTCAAGAGCTAAACACGATTTTGTGAGCTGAAAAAATACCAAGTCATCTTCAAATATCACAGTAAGACCCACTAAAAATATTCAGCAATAATAGTTTTCATATTAAATGTATAAGGTAACAGACTAGGAGAAAATGTGTTACATATTGATATAGAAGGACTTAGCTGAATTTATTTTGTAAAGTATGCTGTCCTGAAATTGAAGTAAAAACTGTTATATGCCACTTTTTGAAGACTGACAAATTTAGTAATAAATGTGCTCAAAGTTTGAGGAAGTTAGTCACAATTCATCTGGCTCAAATTTAGCAAATCATATGTGGCACCTATGTTCTGGTTAGGTTTTAATCATTATAGATTATTCACACCAGTCATTAAGTCTGAATGATTAATCTCATAGATCCAGCCTCTTAAGTTTAAAATTAGCACTTTTCCTAATAGTAGTGAGGCACCTACTCTTGTTTTCAGCTGACTTCAATGGACAGTCTAGTGGCAGAGACCATGATAGAATCTGCTATTCTGGCCATATCTTTGCCAAGTCATCAATGGCTTTCTGCATTATATTAAGCTCAGTCTAAAATCAAGTTTCTAAGGAACTGCCTATAAAGCTACCTAATGAAAGGTAAGATTTGTGACAAAATGAAGCACTCAGCCTGTGAAGTTTGCAGGAGCTGTTAACTTCAGTCCCACTACTAAATCAGATTGTTCCTGGACACACAGTGAATATGCATGTAAAAGGGAGAGAAGACAGAATGGGAATTTTAGAACCTCCTTCTCCTCTTGGTATTTGAGGAGTTAAATAGCTTGATTTTTGAACACTGAGTTCCCCCATTAGCCCATTTTATTTTCCTACCACAAAAACAGCTGGTGGCAAATGTGAAATATCTTCACATACTGCTTACCTCTGTTTCAGAATTATATTTGAGAACTAAAAACATTCAAGCAAAACCTTGCCTGGAGAGCGTAACTTTGGTAAGTGTTGTATACAGTAATGCAGTTAAGCTTCTAAGGTACAATATCAGGTTTTTATTTCAACCAGTTACCCAAACTGTCATTATCTATGGACATAAGGCAGATCTGAAAATTTCACAGTTGGAAGAAAAAAGGCAATGAACAATTTGGATTTCTTGTCCCATTATCTTGCTATTTGAATTGTCTTCTGTGTGGGTGAAGCAGAAGAAAGGGCACCCATGCTCACGATCTACTACAAAAGTATAGTGTTTCTAGAGGAACTTTAAATTTAATCTTAATTAACAGATTAATTTCTAACCAACCTTTTAATCATTGGCGATTGCCACCTCTTTCCAATCTGCATCCTGACAGCAGTGGAGAGAAAACAAAGTCAAAAATCCCATTTGTTAAAGATTTACTTGATGCAAAGATGCACATGTTTGCACAAGATTCATGAAGTAATTCTCAACACCTGAGCAGAAGTCAAATTAATCTCCCTGCATTAGCTTGAAAAAAACCCCTCCTGTTATAAACTGTAAGGACCTGGTCCCAAAGCCCCAATAGAATTAATAAAAAAATCTAGTGCTGGTATCAAGTTGTTCACTTTCACCTCTAAAATCTAAATTTTGGTGCACAGACCATCTTCTATGGCATTTGTATAGCACTTGGTCAAGGGTAATCCCAACTGATTCTGCTGGGGGCCTGTAGGCAATAATGTAATGCAAATCAAGAGATGAGAAGTTAGTCCATTTGCAAATTATATATTTTGTCACTGTGAAATACATCAGTTGTGCTGAGCTGAAGAAAGTAATTACCGAGGGGAAGAGTCCTTTTGTCGTTTCCGTGGAGAAGGTGATGGACTATGCGAGTGTCGTCTGCGCCTACCCACTTCACCATTCTTCACATTTGATCTTTTTGGTCGTTCCTCTTCAGAGGAAGATGATGAACCAGAGTCTATAAATACAAAATAATTAGTTGCTGAAAAGTGGTATACGCACACTGTATTCTTGTGCAATTACTGAGAGTCATATTGCTCTGTCTTCATGCAAAAGACATCTTTTTGCCAAGTTGTGATTTCTGTTTTTAAAAATATTTACAGAGTGTAAGTCAAGGTATATTAACACGATTAGTTAGATCAACTTGTTTAGATACATTTCAAGACAAACTTCTAACATGTGAAGCAACTTTAAGCCTTGCTTACACATGATTGCACCAGTTTAACTAAAAGTTTGTTTCTGATGCAACTGTTACACTTGTCCATGTTTGTGTGTAGATGCTTATTTCTGTTTAAGAGTGGATTATTTCTTAAACAGAAATAAGAGTCTATACACAAACTTGAACTGGTTTAACAACTGCTTCAAAAAACACAACTTTAAATTGGTGTAAGTTTGTGTGCATATAAAGCCTGAATTTCAGGTACATGTTGCAGAATCTACTCAAGATATGCAACTGCAAAATACTGAACAAAATTAGCTACAGGACAAACCGAAAGATACTGACTTCAAGAGCATTAATAAAAGCCCCGAATCAATTATATGTAGCAACAGAACTGCAAAAGTAAATTATTTTGCTGGTCAGAATTGCAAGGTGAAGTATGAAACCAGAAGCAAAACTGAGTATGTGCAGAAATATTCCAAGTAATCTACAGGCACTGGTCAGGAGAAGAGGAATGTTGTAACATTCTTTTCAGCTCCTATGAAATCTGTTGCCAATTCTGGGCTAGCTAGTTATGCCCCAGAATGCAAAATTCTACTTGCCTGCTCCCCTGGAGTATTTTTTGATCAGTGAATAAAAGATTTTCATTATGGTAAGTGATTAATTTTGCAATAGTATTGTAGCATACATTAATGAAATGTGTAAAACTAAGCACAATTTGAATATAGCAGTACAAAAGTAGCCAATATGCTAAACAAATATTTAAGTAAAATATCTTATTAGAATTACAAAAATATTACTGTACCAGATGAAGACTGCTGGTTTTGCCTTCTGTACTGACGTCTCTGTTGCACAGAATCTGCTGCAGCCATTTTGCCACCTTTGTCTTCTTCTGAAAGATATGCACAATTAAGGAACATTTAATTTTTACTTTTGTATCTTCAGTCATTTTATGTTACTTTATGAATAAAGTAAGTTTGTTTGTGAAGCAGTGTTGTTAAAACTGATCAGGTGTTTTATTTAATTTTTTTGTGCTACATCTTTAATTAAAGGCATCCTTTCTTTGGAGTGTGCATTTTGGCTAGGGTTTTCAAAGAACCATAAGGGAGAGAGTTAATGTGAGTGGGATGCTTTATGTTCTCTCTGAAAACCATACCTCCAATACTGCTATCAAAGCCACTGGATCTCAAGAAACACACTGGAGAAGAGTGCCCCTTGTTTGTTTTCATACCATTTAAAGGAAAGGGATTGTAAATGACAAACTTACCTGATTCAGACAATTCTACTTTTCTAGGTTTTGGCGCTGGTGAGGGAGACTCTCTTTTTTCAATACTCTTATGTTTAGGTGCTAAAAGACAAAAGTTAGACAAATCTAAGAAAAAGCTGAATATGATTTTAAATGAAATTTAATATGATCTTGCACACTGTTATCGATACAAAATAAGTGAAAGCTTTTCATGAATGATGTCAGTTACATCTCCTTCATATGAATTTTTGTAGTATACTTTTTAGACTTCAGCTTCCTAGCATATTTTTCTATACAGAAAAGAATGTTGCACTTTTAGATAACATTTGGCTGGTATACTGCTATTTTACTTTGAAATTATAGTATGTAAACGGAGTAGAAATTTTGGTTGTTTTTTTTCTAACTGCACAAGGTTACGAAAAATAGAGTCTTAAAATTGTATGGTAATTTAATTCCTACTAATTCCATGCAGGTACATGTTTCCTGAAAAGCCAGTAACATACATTTTATTTAATAAACTTATTTTCATAAACTATTCAATTCAACTATGATACAACTGAAACGTAGTTATAGAAAAGAGGTGAGAGCATTTATGATTTATTAAAAATTTCAGTATTAAAAACCAGAGACTAAAGTTCAGGGCTGACTACAGTTGGAGATGTACTTACTTTTGAATTATATTTTAACTGCCTAAACTTTTTCCTATGTCTGAAAAGTGTTTGATATCCCAACCCACAATTGTACCATCCCTCTGGAATAGAAATTTGATACCACAACCACTTGAAACGAGAAAACTGCAGCTTGATTCTTTAAAGTGATTTAAGTAAAACTGAGTGCAAGAGAAATATGCAGACACAAAATTAAAAACCTTGCCTACTGCCTCAAACGCAAACACATGAAATCACATCTAGGTCTTCAGAGTTGGAAATAAACTGATTTAGAAAAAAGCCTCTGCAATGTTTTGAAAAATTCTTACACTGGTTGTTACCAATTAGTGTTTGCTTTAAAGTATTAGATTTCATAACGAAGATCTTCCTATTCTTACAATGAAATATTGCAGGGAGGTCAACTCAGCACTATGGTTTGTTTGTTTTTAAATGTCTACCACTATAATCTTTATTTTTTGTTGCTGACATTTAAGTGTTTTGTACTATGAATCTCTATATTGTTAATATTTAAGACCAGGTTCAATAAAATGTCTATTAAACAACTTTGGTACTTTGAAAAGGCAAAAGTTTTGAGGCAGTCCTGCCGTTAGCTAGCAAAGAGTACATAACTATGAGACCGTAAAGGTTCAAACAGATAAAGCGATTGGGGGAAAGCACACATTTAGCTGACTATACCTGAGGCTCTGCCTGGAGAAATAGAGCCACGGACTTTTCTTCCACGATTTGACTGCTGAGGCGTTGGAGACCTGCGTGGCTTTGGAGGTGGACTTGCTGGTGGGGAAGGCCTGTGCCTCCGCCTAGGAGGGCTTGCAGAAGGAGACAGTTTACGTGTTTTGCGAGGAGGACTGGATACAATTCTTTTAGGTGGTTTTTTTGGCGGTGACCGAGAGCGTGAAGAGGAGGAAGAAGAGCTACTTCCAGATAAAGATGCCGATGACCGTCTTCTCCTGTAGATACAAAGTTAACATTAATTGGGTCTGATTAAGCACAGTTCACTCATCTGCAAGCATATCTATACAGCCACATACAGTAGCACTTCCAAAAAACTGGCATATGTTAGCCTCAAATGCTTTAGTATTTCATACAAAAGAGGAGACTAACACAAATGAATGTTTCAATTATTTTCAAACTATAACTGAACAATTTGTCTGAAATGTTACCTTTTGTTTTCCTTCTGTTTTAGATAATAAAATATTACTAACCCTAAAGGATCCAAGAAAATGGCTTGTAGGTGTTGGCTGGTGTGTGTGTGTGTGTGTGTGTGTGTGAGATTTTCAGTTGTTTAGTATTTAGATGGTTAAGAGAATTTTTCACTTTACTGAATCTCAAAAAGGATCTATTAAAGACTGGTGGGCAGAAATGAACCTTTAAGGAACAAAAATTTTATACCAGGAGGCTGAAAATTGCACAAATATCAGACATGTAACCATTCTGAATACATCTTAGCAATATTTTGTAAGATTTATTTTGAAGCTTGTCTTTACTTTATAAACTTAAAGGAGGGCCTCTAGAATTCTGCGGCAAAATTTGTGGTAAGTTCTGTTGCAACTGTGTACCTGCAGAATCCACCTTTGGCTGCAGAATTCCTGAGAACCTGGAAAAAAGAAACCCTACCTTGAGGTGAGATAAATATTTGCTAAAAGGGAATTCTTACATATCTTGCCAAAATACACTTGACACTTTTCACAGTATTTTGTCTCAAAAATGAACAAATCTTTACAAACCTCAAAAAATAGTCACCATCCAGTTATAGCCAGTAGCGTATCTAGGGGGGGAGAGCGGGGCAGCGGCCGCTCCCCCACTGAGCATCTTGGCGCCTTTTTAATTTTTACTCACCTGGCGGTGCTCCAGGTCTTCGGCGGCACTTTGGCAGCGGGCCCTCACTCGCTCTAGAGCGGGTGTCTTCGGCGGCACCGAAGGAAATGCCGCCGAAGACCCGGAGCACCGCCAGGTGAGTAAAAGCACCGCCCCATCAGTAAAAGAGCCGCAGGGGGTGGTGCCCTTTTTTTTTTATGCTCCCCCTGTTCCCTCCATCTGGCTACACCACTGATTATAGCCCCTTTTTCTTGTGAAAGCTGTTCCAAGTTTCCTATTTCAACAGTGCACTGAAATCACATGGTCTCTGACATCCAAAGCAGCTGGAACAACTTGCTCCTCTGCCACCAAATTTGTTTAAATGATGGCAAAGTTGTAAGTCCCCAAGCAAAAACCACCACAAAAGGACAGACTTCTAAAACAAAGTTTAAAAAGCCAGTCTTAATTTGTAAAGTCATGACATAACCAATACCACCACTATCCACTAAAGAAAGTATCAGAATAACAAACTGAGCAGTTAACACAAACCATCACCATTTATGAATGTTAGAAAACATCCATTAGAGGTACTTTAAATCGTTTTATGACCTTTTGATACTATATCAGACACCTGGATTCTGGAACAGAAGTTATTAGCTTCAAAAAGAAAGCGTTAAGTAATATTGCAATACTCCCACCAATCCAAAGGGCTTTGTTTCCCTGCTCTTAAGGGACATAGGCATGAACCAAGACAGAGCAACTTTTAAATCACTTAGGCTATGTCTACACTGCCACGGTAAGTCGACCCACGCTACGCAACTCCAGCTACGTCAATAACATAGCTGGCGTCGACGTACATTAGGTCAAGTTACCGCGGGGTCTACACCGTGGGGGGTCGACAGGAGAAAATCTGCTGTCGACTTACCTTACTCTTCTCATCGGGGGTAGAGTACAGGGGTCGACTGGAGAGCGATCTGCAGTCAATTTGGCGGGTCTTTATTAGACCTGCTAAATCGACCACCAGTAGATCGATCTCAAAGTGTCGATTCCCGCTGTAGTGTAGACCTGCCCTTAGTTTGTATACTATACACTATCAAAGTCACCTGTGGTTAAGTTACCTTTGATACTACAATCACTCTTCATAACTATATTTCAAGCTAACTTTAAAAGTTTTTAAAACCTTGTGATGTCTTTCAAATATCAGCAGTTTCATATTTACCAAAAAGGAATCTTACCGCCTCAGAGGGGATCTACTTCTTCTGTGTCTGGGCGGGGGAGGCATGCGCCTTGGAGGACTCCTCCTCCTAGGAGATGGTCGTCGTCTTGGGCTTGGCCGCCTTCTAGGGGAGTAAGACCTGTCACAATCAATCAATGAAAATTCGAAGAATGAACAGCGACCTCCTAAATTTCACAGGATGGAGGTAGATTTAGACACCAGAAACCAAGTGAAAAGCTGCTTTGTCGCAAGTATATCACACTAAATCAGCATTTCTGTTGTACTGAAACGCGTTACCATTAAGCTACAAGCAAACAAGATTTCAAATCAACCAAAACCTCTGTACTAATCCACACACACACAAAAAAGGATTAAACCTAAATTTCTAAGTGTTTTCAGGACCAAACCTAGCTCTTAAAGGAGGTTGTGGGGTATCACCTGGAGCTGCCAAATACCATATTCAGGATTCAGTACCTTTTCCCAGCCCAACTGCCATTCATATCAAGCATTTTCCCCAGATCAGGTAGAGGATGAAGACTAGTGAACATGCTTAGGTGGTGTTTTCCACTCTTCTTCTCCCCTCCCACATACTCGGCCTAACCCACTGCAGGCTCATCTCTGGCTGAGGAGAATTATTACTGTACAGAGTGGCATTAATGCCTTGGCCTTTATCTCACATCATATAATTAGTTATTTTTTTCAGAATTTCCAATGTACACAGCTAATTGAGTGTTTTATGGCTCTGAATGGCCACTTCAGAGCAGATCATTCAGTTCCTGGCCTTTAACCTCAAGATAAAGTAAAAACTCATCTTCTTACCTTGACCGTGATCTATGGCGCCTTCTTGGTCTAGAATGAGAAGGGGAATGTGAGCGAGACCTTGACCTTGATTTGGAACGGGATGGTGATCTTTGACGAGTCTTCTCTTTTTCTTTCTCTCTCTCTTTCTTTGAATTTCGTTCTGGGGAAGTTTCTTTAGTATCTGGTACAGGTTCAGGTTTGGGAACTTTCAGGATATCACTGTTAAAATAAAAAAACCTTAAAATATAAGCATATCCCATCTGTAGCTACCTGGATTATATTTTAGAAAGAACCTATGACAGTGCTTTCACTAAAAAAAGACTGTCGTGAGTAACACCTAGTTAAGGTGTTCATAGCTGCAAATCCTATTAAAATTCTACTCATGGTCAAAAGATTTAGGTTTTCAACTTCCTGTAACAGATTATTAAAAGTATACTGAATAGGCCCCATGTTAACTTTCCATAGATTGACCTGACAATGCAGAACAGTGGAAGTTATTAATCAAGTAGGATCAGTGAAAAATTGATTTGTCAAAAGTTCCAGGCTGCCATTATTTAAGATAATGCTGAGGCTGTCCAATTCCAAGTGCTGACTCAGTACTTTAGGAAGTGTTCTGCCTTTATCCAGTCTGAAGTCAGAAGCTGAAGGTGGCGCTTGTAAAGTTCTCAACAAATACAGGGAAAATCAAGCCAAAACTAGCCTTAATATGCATTTCTTAATGAAACTAAACTTAACACTGCCAAAGGAAAGGACTTAACTAGAGTAATACAACAAAAAAAAAGCATTAGTGAAACATCCGTATGCACTCAAAGATTTACTCAAATTTCTCCATGTGGAAACATGTTTTATTGAAGACCACGGTGACACATGTAAAGTGATCTGCCAGACAAAAAAATAATAGCACATTTTTTCAGAAGGAAGTGGGGCTGTTTTCTATAAAGCTCTAAGCAAATATCAGCAGGAATTAAAATAATTCCATTATACTAAAGGGAATGATAATTCCTTATAAGCAGCTAATTTCAAGGGGGGGGAGAAAAATCAACTCTGGTACTTGCCTAGTTGATGTTGCCTCTTGTATCAAAGTTTCCTTTGCTTGCACTGAAGGCTCTGGCTCTGGAGTCTCCTCTTTCTTTTCTGGTGCAGGAGTAACACTACGGCTCTTGGTTCTGTGGCGAGGAGATCGAGAGTGGCTACGCTTTCTCTCTCTTCTGACAGGAGATCTCCTTCTAGGGGAAGGAGACCTTGACTTGCGTCTAGGAAAGAGAGAATTTCTATTCAAATGATGTACTATGTTAGGAGCAGATTTAAAAAAAAAAAAAAAAAAATTAAGCCACGTGTATTTACAGCTAAGAAACTTCATCTAAAAAAATCAGACATCCTCTTTCCCCACTGCTAACTGGAAAAGGTAAAAAACAAATATAGAGCTATTTTAGATTTTTCAAAAGAACCCATCAGTTAGCAAGACTGGCTTCAGACTTCAGGACTGTCATTAACAATTCTAGGGAAACTGTTTTGTTGGTAATTCAGCCTAATGTTTGCCTTAGATAAACTAAAATTCACCACCACCTGTACACTAAACTGTTATAGCTGCACAAACAAAACTAAATCTAAAATAATGCCTATATTAGCATAAACACTTTCACAAGATAGCTCATAGTTCAGTTATGGGGATCTCAATAAAATCTGCTGCGATCTCTGGAAAATCTTTTGTGCTCTCAATGTAATATATTTACCATTATAAGCAATGCCTGTTCCCTTATATACCACTAGTTTTTTATCTGCCATTAATATTCAGTAACAAGCTAGACTGGTCTTCCCCTAAAAAAAATTCTGTATGGTCCATTCCAAAGTTTGCTGAATCTTTAGAAATCTCCATTGCCATGTCCCCATTGCCCTGAAGACCAACAGGAATTGTAAGTATTCAGAGTATATTATTAATACCTTCTTGGACTTCTGGATCTGTCCCTTTTTTCTCTGCTGTCTTTGTCCTCTTTGTCTCTCTTGTCCTTGTCTTCATCTTGTTTCTTCATAGAAGCCAACTTTTCTTGCTCAATCTAAAATACAGTACATTGTTAAAATTAATTATAGAACTAGAAAGCAATAAATGTTTGACAGATTTTTCAAGATGAGAACCTTAACCAGTGTAAGCCATATTTTTTAAAACCTTTATCCAATCACAACTTCATGTGTGAATTAAAATGGAGTAGTCAAAACAGGGAATAAAAAAGAGAGACCATTTATTGAGATGCACCTAACTTTAAAAAAAAAAAAAAAAAAAAAAAAGAGACCACATTTTAAAAGCCGCTTAATTTTTTATGCTGTAAAATTTAAAAAAATCTGTTGTGTCTCAGTTCAGAAGGCAAGTCTGAACAAAAGTTATTACATTTTAGCAGTAAGTCAAAATTATATCATCTCCTCTTTACCTCAATAACAGTTTCATCCAAATTAGCAAAATCTACCTTAATGCCAACTAGTTTAAAAAAAAAAACAAAACACACAATTTGAAGGCTACTCTAATGGAATAATCATCATAAAAATGACTCCTATAACAATGACACTAAGTAAAATATAACTAACTTATATTTTGCAAGTTATATAAAAGTTATATTTTGCAAGACTCCAATTCTTAAGCCGTATCAATCTCTCCCCTACCCACCCTGAAGTACAGGCTAAAGTGTGATAAACTCTTCATTTTTCAACCACAAAAAATGAGGTTTCAGTTTGTGACGAAACATTTCACTTTAAAAACTGGATGAATTATGTCAGCATTTCACACAATTTACAAGAACTAGTTAAAGATGATTGATGCAAGTATCTGTTTCACCAACTCTAAAACTAACTCCTTCATAACTGGCAGAAGTGAACATTTCCCCACTCAACTAGAAGAGTCCTCAGCACACATTTCTTGTGATTGCAGCTAGTAAATAACCACACAGCACTAAGTAATTTACCTGTGATTCTCTTAAACAGCTATATTAAAATCCTACCTGTCTTTGTTTTATTTCTTCTTTCTTGAGCTCCAGGAAAGCAGAGGGAATATCAGCAATGTTTTCTTGTGCACTTAGCAGCAGTGGCCACAGTTCACCCATGAACTCTCTAGCATTTTTCCCATTCAAAAACCCAGTCAGGTTGATTTGCATCATTTTGGAATCTGGATTCTGCAAAGAGATGCGACAGGAAGACAAACAGGTTATTTGAAAAAAACAACATACAATTAATATTCAATTTAGTTTAAGCCTACCATGGGGGCTAAAATACATATACACTCAAGAACTATTGCTTTTTAAAAAGCTTTCCCTAATGATTGCTCATCAATGTAATTCTATCAGATTACCAACTTTCCCTCTCACCTTACCATAACATTCAGAGCGGCCTGTTAACCCTTTGT